CGGCTGCTGTTCTCCCTGTGGAAACACACAAACAGACCCCCGACTCCAGACAATTACTGGGTCAGGACCTTTCCATTGTCCTGTTAGAATATCCTTCCAAAGTACCTTGGGCTTATGTACATTTTTTGGACACATATGCCTTTCTGCAGCACTAAGTCCTGATGAATCCAAATTTAAAAAGTTTAGAGTAAAAAGGGTTATTTTAAGTTTATCTTTGGGGAATATATACCCCTTCCCAATTCCTTCTTTTTGCTTTAATAAGTACATTTTAATAGTTTGATGAGCTCTTTCAACTATGCCTTGTCCCTGTGGATTGTATGGGATTCCTGTTATATGAGTAATGCCAAATGTTGAGCAAAATTGTTTAAAAGAGGTAGAAGTATAACCAGGGGCATTATCTGTTTTTAACTGTTTTGGAACACCCACAGTGGCAAAATTTTGTAAGCAATGAGCTATAACATCTTTAGTTTTTTCTCCGGCATGAAGGGAGCCCATCAAAAATCCAGAAGAAGTATCAACTGTAACATGCAAATATTTTAATTTTCCAAATTCTGGCAAGTGTGTGACGTCCATCTGCCTCAAATACAGGGCATGTTAATATTTGAGACCTTGTCTCAGGATCCCAACTATCAACTGCGGGGGTTGGGGGCCTCCCAGCATATGGAGGTGGCGCTGTTGGTTGGACACTTACGCCCTCTGGTGATAGAAAGGTGTTAGTAGCAGTCTCCTGTAGAGGTGGTGCTGTTGGTTGGACACTTACACCCTCTGGTGATAGAAAGGTGTTAGTAGCAGTCTCCTGTTGTAACTTTCCCCCTGATGGCTTTTTCTGTTTTACACTTTCTTTCTCTGTCTGACTAGCTTGAGAGGCCTTCTCTTTTACTTGAATCTTTTCCTCTGTCTGACTAACTTGAGAGACCTTCTCTTTTACTTGAATCATTATGTCTTCTCCTTCCTCTACCATTGTCTGAACTGAAGGCTTTGGACTAAGCAAACAAGATACCAACGTCCACAATGGCAATGTGCCAACTGGCAGAGTCCCTGGGCTTTTCTTTTCTATTCTTTTTAAATCTTCACCATGATGGTTCCATTGTGATATATTCAACAACTCCTCCTTAAAAAGCCATGGGCTACATTTTTGTATTGTATCAACATATGCCCTGACTGCTCTTGATTTTACTGGGATGCCTCCTTCCTCTAACAATTTACTTAACACTCTTTCAGTTTGTTTTTTACTAATTTCTGATCCCATATTTCTACTATAATACAACCCAACAAGATGACACCAAACAAAACCGAGACAGAATGAAATAAAAAGGGAACAACAAAAAGTCATTATAGCCTTTCTATCCTCCTGACATGTGCATCTGTCCTTTCTCCCTATCTGTTCCTCAGACGTAAATAGTTTTTCCTCAGATGTGAGCGGTTTTTCTTCCGTCTCACTCATCTCCAGGGACAGGCAACTTAAAACAAAAGTGAAGCAAAATAAAAGAGGAATCTTAAAATGGCTACCCATCCTCTCGCCCTGCCCTCAGGGGCGAGCAGTTTCACTTACCCTCAGTCGCTCCCCGTGCGAGCCACCAAATGCCGCAGTCTGGCTGGGCACAATCAGGAGCCACTTGTCAAAAGAAACTAACTTTATTTTTAGAACCACACACGACAAACAAAATAGCCTCTCAGGAAAAACCCTCAGAGCCTCAACTGCCACCACCGGCTTTCCCCAAGCCTCTCTCTCCCACCCAAGCTTCTCTCCACCTCCCACAATCCTCCTGCTCTTGAGGCCGATTGGCTGGGTCACGTGGGCGGAGCCAAAAAAGTCCCCCAATGAGCAGCTCCGTGGTCTGAAAGGGCAGGGAAACAGTCCAATGAGCATCACCGCAGAGGAGCCAATCAGCTAGATGTTGCTGGGGCTGCTGTGAGCCAATCGTCAGCCGGCAGCTGGAAGTTTGCTGGGGCCCCTTCGGCTGTGGCTCTCAACAACTTTCTCTCAAATGGTTCAAAAAATGAAATGCTGAAAAGAATACTGAATGTTGAGGGTGTGAGAACAAGCTTTGGGGTGGGTTTCAGAGTATACTGTAGAATGAATTTAACTTATTTAACTTAGTTGAATTTAACTTATTTTCCCTAGCCTTAGAAATTTTATGATTATTTTATATGGTTCTTTAAAAGTAATATTATGAATTTCAACCACCAAATTTAAGATTCCTGACTCTAAGTTCCCCCTGGAAGAACCACTCCACTTCCCACAGAAGTCTATTCTTCAGAATTCTTCTGTAGTGAAGACCCACTGGTAAAGCCTCTATCAGCTCCTGTTTGTCTGAAATGTTCTCACTTTATCTTTTCTTATGAACTGACTGGTATCCCCCATATTCCTATGTCACCCCCAACGTGACTGTCTGGAGATAGCATCTTTATGGTAAATGAAGGTTAAGTGAGGTGCTAAGCTCAGTCCTTCATGTTGGTCTTGAGGTCTCTCCCTGGACAGATGCTATAGACTCTAACCTGGCCCTGATGGAGCTCTGGGACATTTGGTAATAGTGACCTTTTATGGTGTTCCTGTCAATGGATTACTTCATCCTAGCTGATGGCCTAATGCCCAAGTGTCCAACATGTGAGCAGGTGCCTCTCCAACAGAAAACTTCTTTATCCTGACTGATGTCCATGAGGCTCTTGTCTGAACTGAGTCCAATCTATTCCTATCAAGACAGCCACTCTCCAAGAGAACCCAGACTGGTGAAGAGGGTGTGTCAGTCAGGGGAGACACAGGAGACAACTCAACAAAAGAGGTACAATAACAAGTCCCAGATCCTGGAGACAAGAGGCAAGCACACCTCACAGGCCATTGGGAAACAGAGGGAGCCATCAGGGATGAGCAGGCACACCCAGCAGGTAAGAGACAGAAAGCAAGGGACCTGTGGACTGAAGCCTTCTTTGTGGTCCAGGGCATTACCCAGGGAAATTTCCCATGGAGAATTCTAACTAGTGGCTTAGGAGCAAGAAGGCACAAGTTACGAGAGTGGGGGGTGACACTGCGACTGGGAGGTAGTCACTGCAGGAAATGGGAGGTATGGGGTCAAACAAGTAGTTTGCATCAAGTAGTTTGCATAGGGAGGTGTCCCCACCAGGTGATTTTTAAAGGCAGATATCTGGATGAACCATAGTGTAGAACTGGGAGGAGGTGGAAAACTGGAAAGTGTGTCAAGGGTAACTAAGCACCGCTTCTGGTATGAGAAAGCTTTACTTATATTCAACATGGATGCCAAGGAAGCATACAATTCTAAGAATTCACTCCATGAGGTTGTATGGATGGGGCCCTAATCCAGTAAGATTGATGTTGATGTTATAATAAGAAGAATAAATCAATCTCTCTCTCCCTCCCCAACTCCCTTTCTCTCTGTCTCTCTGTGTCTCCCTCTCTCTCTCCCTCTCTGTCTGCCCTCAACCCCAATTGATCCCTTTGGATTTCTATCACATCTAACATCTATTTCACATTTTCCATCCATGTTTTTCCTTTCTTGGATGAAACTGAAAATTTTCTTCCATTCTTGCTCCCAATTCACTAATTCTTTCTCTACCTCTCTCCAGCCTGGCTTTAAATATGCACTTCATTTTTATTATAATTATTCTAGTTTTTATTTTAAGAGTTCTATAAAAAGTATTTATCTTTTTTTACTCATATTGGTAAAAACCTCTTTTTGATTCATTCAGTGTGTTTAAAGATACTAATTTCATATTTTTTTTCCAGTTGATCTAATATCTGGGAGTTTTGTAGATTGGGTTCTTCTGACTTTTTTCCTGCTGTTTCTCACTCTTGCTGTGTTGTTACTGGTGTGTTTCATGATTGCTGAATGTCTGCAGCTCTTTTTCCTTAATTTTCTACAATCTGAAAAAATGTCAGTTTCTCCATATATCACAGTTGATGTGTTCAGGTAACCTGGAGGTATATGAGGCTAGGCACACAACCTGGTCCTAGAGAAGTGTGTGTGTGTGTGTGTGTGTGTGTGTGTGTAGCTGGGGATTAAACCCAGGACCTTGTGCATGCAAGGCAAGCACTCTACCAACTGAGCTATATCCCTAGAGAATTTTTGTGCCACCCATATAGTATCAAGTCAGGCTAGAAACCAGAGTGAAGACAGTGTATGGCTATCAATCCCCTACCCTTCCATTTACCAAATTTTGCAATGGTTCTCTTCTTTGTGCTCTTTGGTCCTGGGGATTTCTTGTTGGATCACCTTAGTCTGAGGTGACCCCAGGTTTTTGGAGACTCTCCTGATTGCCACTTTGGACAAACCCTGGGCTCTGTCATCTTTCCTTTGTAAAGCTACAAAACAAATGTTAAAGAATTAACCAGAAACCAGTATATGTGATAACGTTGCATAAAATAAATACATACAAATGAATGCAATAGGAGCTAGAGATATAGCCTCAGTGGTGGAGCACTTGCCCAGCATGCACGAGGCCCTGAGGTTAATCCCCAGCACTGCAAAAAAAAAAAAACAAAAACAAGACACACACACACAATTGAGGACAATAATACTGAGAAAATCTAAATAAGAATGTTGATATTAATGTTAATATCCCAATAATGTACCCCATTTGACAAGATGGTTACATTGGTAGAAACTAAGTACAGGATATAAGGGATCTCTGTATTACCCCTTACAAAACTGCATAATGTACAATTAAATCAATAAAAATTTCCAAAAAAGGAAACTGAAAAGAGAGCATGTGAAATATCATCTCATTCATGTAATGCGTATTTATTTGTGCATTGCACAGAGAACTGTACGAGAGGACAGTCACCAAAATGTCACCAGTTTTTAATGCATGTGGCCATTCTTGGGGTAACTAATCTTCTCTGAATCGTTCCTCATTCTGGGTCCCATCACTGCTTCTCACATTTCCTGTGGCTGAGCTGCAGGCTCTCCATCAGCACACTGCCAGGACCCTCAGTAGCTCTCAGGTGGGACAGATGAAGGAGAGGAGCAAGTTCACTTCATTACTCACAATGAGCTTCCTTGGGTGGATGTTGTCGGGCAGGGCCAGGCTGGAGGTCATTTCCCAAGCGTCCACAAAGGCCACACGGAGCCCAGCAAACGCAGCTCTCAGAAGCCGGTTCATGTGCAGGGTGAACCAGTCACTGCCATACACAGACTTATAGCCAGTGTTGGCCAGTTTGATGACCACAAGGGTACTGGGTTCCCGCTCCAGCAGGGCCATCACAGCTGCCCGAATCCCTGCCAGTCGTCTTGCAAAGATGGATGGAGGGAAGGTGGTGAAGTGGGCTCCCAGGCCCAGCACCACCACAGTGTGGGGGCCCCCGGCCAGGCCCTCCAGTTCCTTGGCCACAGAGTGTAGGGAGGCCACTGGCGTGCGTTGGGAGCGCAGGGGCCAGCTGTGGGCTCGCCAGTGCAGCACTATGCCCTGAGTGGTCTCCACGGCCATCAGGGGCCCCACCTGATATGTGGAATGTAGATCCACGGGTTTCAGGGCTGTTGGGAGGATGAGAGAGAAGTTTCCATAAGTTAACATATAACCGTGCGCCATATTATTTTACAAATAAAACTTCTAGCTCCCGCCTGCTTGCTTTATCAGACACAAGCATTCTGTTCCTCAACTCCGAAAGCTCTCCCTATCAGTACCAACACTGTCCATCCAAACTCCTTTCCAGTTTACTTTACTCTTCTTTACTTTTCTTTTGGGGGGATCAAACCCAGGGCCTTGCACAGGCGAGAGAAGCCCTGAACCACGGAGCTCCATCCCCAGCCCTTTCTCTATGGCATTTGACTTCCTTCTTCTGGCCAACCTCTTCCAGAAACATTCCTCCCTTTTTCCTTCTGTAACAATACACTGTCCCCTTGTTTCTACCTTTCTGGTAATCCTCACCCCTAATTATTGGCTTCTTATTTTCCTTGCACTTTATAAATAAAAGAATTCCCCAAATTCTATCCCTAGAATCTACTTTTCTTTTTCTTTTAACCTACAATATGTTTTATTTACTATCTCTACTTTTAACATACTTTGTGCACTTCTAAACATCTAGAAAAACCAGGTGTTTCAAATGAGGACTTATATTTGTCCACAATGTACATAGTAGTGTTGCTGAATAAATGATACACAGGTAGCAATATTTATATCTGAAAGCATCTAAATAAGATCATGCTGGCCTAGAATCTTTCTTTCATTTCTTCTCTCCTATGTCACAAGTGACAGAGGCACAAGTGTCACTCAGATGTAATGTTACAATTTCACTTCCTAAAGTTCTTTTCAGAGGACTCCCTTTCTATGAATTTTAACAAAAAGTATACAAAATGCATTAGTTTACTAACTCTACTTTTGTGACACATTGGCAATCTCTGCATACCCAGAGGCAAGATATTATAAAACTAAGACTCCCTTTTCCAGTACATACACAATATATTCAGTACAGCAAAGTTAAATGAAATGCACGTTAAAGGGCAATTGTAAGCTGGGATTTTCAAACACAAACTAACAAAACACCTTTTGTAACTTCTTCCCTCCCACCTCCCTCAACCCAGTGAACAAGTACTGACAAGATACCATTCAGACGTGGTTTAACAATTCCAAACACAGTATTTCCTACCAGTTTTTAAAAGCTATTTACCAGGCTGGGATTGTAGCTCAGTGAAAGAGTGCTTGTCTAGCAAGCGTGAGGCCCTTGGTTTGATCCTCAGCACCACATAAAGATAAATAATCAAAATAAAGGTAACATGTCCATCTACAACTTAAATATATATATATTTTAAAAATCTATTTACAAAAAGTTTTATTCTAATTTCTACTTTAAAAACATATCAAGCACTATTAAAGATATAGAAGGATTAGATATTCCACATAAGAATGTGTCCACTATGCACACATCAGTGTAAATAAAACTGCACACGTAGTAATGGTTATAATTTGATATATCTTCTAGTATGACCGTATCGTTCCTGACTCTTTCCCTCCTCCCTTTTTTCTGTCTACTCCCAGTTCAGTGGACAAGTACATGCATATGTAATGCTTAGAGATGGTTGAACAAATCATACCCAGAAGTCATTTCCTGAAGTCAAGCTTTCCCATGAATTTAAACACAAAATGTAACAAACATGCTAATTTTACTACTTCTTCATGCACTGGAGACCTCTTTAATATCTAAAACTAAATGTTTCAAAATTGGGACTCATTTGCCCATTATATACACTACATACACAGCAAAACAAAATGCACCATACATACAGGAAACTGATGCCTGAAAATGTCCATTGC